GTTGTTTTTATGGGGGGTAGGGGTAGTGGTAGGGGTGGGAGGAGGCAAGAGGGAGCAGATTAGGTAACAAATTTGCAGATACTTTAAAATTTTTTACTCCCTCTCTGATCTTGTTTGAAAATAATAAATGCACTGATTTTGATGCATCTACCCCTCAAAACCACCTTTACAACCTCTATGCATATCTAACAATTGTCTTTTTAAGTTAAAATGAACGGGAAGGCAAATCCAAATAATTGTACTAAAAGCCTTTGAAGTCTGGTATCTAGCTGTTTGGTTACCATTTTAATCATTCAACAATACATGGTGAACTGGAGTAATCCCCTGGCCTGAAAAAAAAGAAAAACACATTGCTAGATATGAGAGAGCTGGATCTGTCACACTGGTTCTCATCACGTTAAAAGACCAAAGCAGAGGTACAAAGGTGTTCTGAATACTATCAGATCATGGTGAAGTTTCAGCCACAGAAGTGTTTGATGTGTGTAATATGATCAATAACTCAATTTTGTTGTAAACTGGAAGACAGTGGTGGTGTTCACTTTAAAATCAACTGATAGACTTATTTTGTTGTTCTTAGGTGCCATCAAGTCGGTTCCGACTCATTGTGACCCTACGTACAACACACTTATTTTAATAAGTTAATAGACTTCTGCATTCTTTTGGTTAGAAAATGACCAGGTGTTAAAGGACTGTCAACCACTTTCAATTAAAATTGGCTTTTGAAGTCTTTTGGCTAGAAATTCTGCAGATATGAAAGACCTTTCATAGCGTTTTCAACACTCCAGTGAGAGTTACCTGTGGTCTCTGCATACTGTAATACAGTGGTCTATGTGCGTTCTGCTCTAGTTGTTGGTCTATAGATGCACAAAAAAGTATTCTTTGGAAAAACAGAGAAAGTTTGAATTTATACTGAAACTTAAGTACATCATAGTTTACGTTTTCATTCTTATTTCGGAACTTGCAATCATTAATTAATAGTAGTAAGGTTGAGATTTAGATTTATGACATCAGTGACAGAATAACATACATACTTCATGTGATATTGATGTAATGACATATTGATGGAGTTTCACCTACTCTATTGTTATAGAGTGGGTTCTGGGTGGTACAAATGCTTAATGCACTAGGCTGCTAGTAGAAGGGTCGGAGTTCAAGTTAACCCAAAAGTGCCTGAGAAGAAAGGCCTGGAGATCTATTTTCAAACAATCAGTCAATGAAAACCCTGTGGAGCATAGGTCTGTGGCACACACTGTTGCCGTGGGTCAGAATAGATTCAACAGCAATTGGCTACTGGTATTGTTATGGTACCCCAGTGTAAAATGTAAATATATGTCTCAGTACCACAAAGCTGTGTATATATTTAAGAATCTCAAGTAAAACCTGTACTCTATTCACCTGAAATGTTTGCTCACTAAACAAACAAACAAACAAAAAACCCACTGCCGTTGAGTTGATTTTGACTCATGGAGACCCTATAAGACAGAGTAGAACTTCCTTAGAGGGTTTCCAAAGCTGTAAATCTTTATGGAAACAAACTACCTCATCTCCTTTGGAGTGGCTGGTGGGTTCGAACCACCAACCTTTTGGCTAGCAGATGAATGCATTAAGCACTGTGCCACCAGAACTCCTCATTTGCTCATAAGAGATATTAAATTGATTTTAAATTCATTAGTTTATTCAGTGATAGTGAATCTTTCAACTCAGTGGATTCTTTATGGCCAAGTGACTGCTTGTCCAGATTTGCCCAGGACAGTCTGGACTTTAAGCCTATTGCCCCTGTGGAATTAATACCACCTTCCTTTGCTCTCAAAAATATTCTGGTCTGGATAGTAAAGCCAAGTCCCCAAAGCCACAGATTCAGGGGCTGCGTTTTCGGAGCAGGCATTGCCTCTTGCTCCTTGGAACAAATCCCTTTCCTCATCTTTTCTTGCCTGTTATGTTCTGTAGGCCACAGGGCTATTTTCTTTGCTTCAGGGGATTCCAATGGAAATTTCATCTGAAGAATGCATTTATAAGAGAGCTTCTGAAACGGCATGCATACATATATACATACATAATCAATACAGGTTTTACTGTATTCCAGGAGAGTAGCAATCTTGTTTTTATTCATCTTTAAACTCTGCACTTCCCACAAGGCCCAGGCAATTGTAGAGGCTCAAAAAGTGCTTGATGAATGAACAAATGATTCAACATTTAATCATTTTTTAATTTAAGAAAATACAGATTTTTTCACACAGATGATTTTCTTCCTGAAGATATCCAGGGACTTTTGATTTCCTCTGGAGTCATCACTTCATACAATATTTCCTCAAACTGTATATAGATTACTTGACATTTGGCTAAAAAGTCTGACACCCAGACCCTGCCCCTGACAGACTGATTCAGTCTCAGGTGGTGCCAGCTAGCTGTTGCTCTAACAGGTATCCCATCTAGAACTCCTTCAACTTTCAAGTTCTTGAAAATCTTTGCTTCACTTTGTTTTCAAAAGGATATTTTTGATTTGCCACCTTTCTACACCACCACTAATAATCTAGCTGTGGAAAGGATACTAGGCTGAAAGAAAAGCAAGTTCCACTGCAAAACTGGTTGTATCACATCCCCTCTCTAGGCACACATTTCCCCAACCTTGTAATGACAGGGCTGAACTCTTGTTCAGCTGAGTTCGCTCTGATTCATAGTGACCCTATGCACAGCAGAACAAAACACTTCCTGATCCCTACACCATCCTCACAGATCTCGCTATGCTTAAACCCATCGCTGCAGCCACTGGGTCAATCCATCTCATCGAAGTCCTTCCCCATTTTCACTGACCCTCCACTTTACCAAGCATGATATCCTTTTTCAGGGAATGGTCCCTTCTGACACATGACCAAAGTAGGTCACACAAAGTCTGACCATTCTCATTTCCAAGGAGCATTCTGGCTGCACTTCTTCCAGGGCAGATTTGTTCTTTCTTCTGACAGGCCATGATATTTTCAATATTCTTTGCTAACACCACTATTCAAAGGCATCAACTTTTCTTCCATCTTCCTTATTCATTGTTCACGCGTATGAGGCAATTGAAAATGCCATGGCTTGAGTTAGGCGCATCTTAGTCTCTAAAGTGACATCTTTGCTTCTTAACACTTTCAAGACAAGCACCTATCAGTTTGTCATATTGTGGGGCTTGCTTTATGCTGTGAGGCAGGAGGCTATGCCACCATTATTTCAAATACCAGCAGGGTCCCCATGATGTAGAGGTTTTAGCAGAGCTTCCAGACTAAGACAGACTGGGGAGAAGGACAGGGCCATCCACTTGTGAAAAAAATTGGCCACTGAAAGCCTTATGAATAGCAGTGAAACAGTGTCTGATATATTACTGGGCTGGACTATATGGCCTTACAAACTTCTTGTAGTGCTATCATTGCATTATTCTTATATTTCAAGCCTGAAAGTCTCTGGTCAGATAAACAGTGCTTGTGTTAGGGACATTTTCCACAAAAAAAAATGTAACTGCTTTGTCTTTTTTGCTTCTTTTGCAAGAAATTGGCTATGGATTCATTACAATTTTAGAAATATTTCTACACTCTTAGGTTATAAAGTAACCATTCTTCATGCACAACTTTCAGTACCAATTTTACGTGAGTTTCTCTGAATACCTCTGTCGGGAGTCTATTGACAACTTTTCACTTCAGTGGTTAACAGTTATTTATTACTTCTAGGAGCTCTGGTGGAGCTCTGGTGGCATAATGCCTAAGGCATTTGACTGTTAACCAGAAGGCTGGCGGTTCAAACCCACTAGCCACTCCTCCGAAGGAAAGTTGGCCAATCTACTACTGTAGAGGTTTTAGCAGAGCTTCCAGACTAAGACAGACGGGAAACCCAAGAAGGGGTAGCTATGAGTCAGATCCAACTCAATGGCAGTGAGAGGAGCTCTGGTGGCCTAGTGCCTAAGGCATTTGACTGCTAACCAGAAGGCTAATGGTTCAAACCCACCAACCACTCCTTGGAAGGAAGACTGAGCAATCTACTTCCATAGTGATACTGCCTCAGAAACCCAAGGAAGGGTTGCTATGAGTTGGAAAAATGACTTGACAGCCTTGAGGTTTTTTTTTTTTTTTTTGCATATTATCTTTTAGTTTCTACCAAACACATTTCTGCAAATAAAGAAAGGTCTTTGTTTTTGAGCATAATTTGCAGAAGTTGGAAGATCCCTGCTTGCTCAAGTGCCCTGTTATTTAATTATAACCACAATCAGAAGCAATCTCGGGTTACCATGCCAATTAAAACCAAAGGAAACCAAACCCACTGCCAGTGATTTGGTTCTGACTCATAACACCATATGCCTACAAGAAGGGAAGAGAAAAGGATTCTGGTAAACATATTCACAGAGATTTTTTCATCTGATTAGCTATATGTATCTGATTGGGGCTTGAGGAAAGATAACCCAAGGAAATTGATTTTTCCATAAGCAGGCAGAGAGAATAGACCAGAAAATATTTAGAACATGGGGAAGAACCTGAGCAGGTCGAGACCTAATGAGCAGCAGATCTTCAATATCTAAGAGTTGCTGTCAGTAAGAGAGAAAAGGTGGTCATGTCTTTTCAGAGAAGAAGCAAAAGCAACCTTCACTTAATTCCAAATTTTGTCATGACTGTTTCTGAAGTCATAAGGAAGAGTCTAATGAGATGACACTCGTAGGGGACAGAAAGCACAATTGTATATGATGACAATTTCCACTAGGCAGGTTGCCCGGGAGAGTAGCATAGAGTGTAGTCACAGAGGTGGGATGGATTTTCTCTTGTCTTCTGTAATTGCTTACCACCCTACTTCTTCCTTTAAGGTGGCTCCCATATGAAGAACAATCATTTGTTATTTAGTCTAATCCACACTGGCCCCGATGTCTCACAGTAGATTTAATATTAATCAACTCAATTATTCCTCAAGATTGCAGGTATAAAGGGCAATGTGCAGGCTGAAAAATGTCTCTGGAGTTAAACTTGTGATATTGACTGCTCAAGAATGGACAGAAAACATGGGAAATATGTAGTGAATATAGAACATTCTGGAAACCAGCCAGTGAGTATTGTACCAATGTGATATTTTCTGATAGCCCAGTCTAGTTTTCAATATTTAAACTCTAATATTTTTTATTACTATATAATTCTTTCCCCAAAGGAATTCTTGATCTAAGTTTTACATAGAAGCCAGTTTGTTAGCTGTTTTATTATTATTAATGAGGAAACTTGTATTTTTCTTCATATCAATATTACATAATTGAGAAACTTATTTTAAATATTCATCTAAATCATTAGCAAATTTGACAAGTAACATAATTTAATAGCGTGTTCAAATAATGTGCTACAAGTACAAGCCAACAAAGGTGAGTTGGTTGCATTAACAATTATGTTTTAAAATGTGATATGCAGATTTTGTGTATGTTGTTGCTGGTGTCAGGTGTCGTTGCATCGGCTCTGACTCATAGCAACCCCATATACAACAGAACATAGTTTTGTGTTTAATGCCAGTATTTTTTAGTGTAAGATCCAGACTTAGTAGAACCCAATGATTTCTACACCTCTTTGGAAGTTAGAAGTTAATCTTGTAGGTGAATGCTCAGCCTAGGAAGGAAATTATCTAGCAAATCTTTTTGATTGGCTTCTGCTTAATTATGATTATGAATTTCTTTTTTTCTGTGTGTGTGTGAAGATTGTACTGAGGTAAAATATTAGAATTCATTTATATGAAACATTATTTTGACTATTATGTTTTTTTAAAAAAACAATTGGTACTATGTAAGTTTTATGATTACATTTATGTAACTGTTTTTTTGACTAGACATTTGGTATTAGAAATAGAAATGTAAATTGATGAATGAAATCAGTATAAATTTGAATGGACAATTACATTCTACAATGTAATTCTTTCATGGTCAGGCTAGATCTGTTGTGTTAAGTTCTGTGTTAACAGCATTAAGGCCACAAGATCTATTCTTGTATGGGGGATTTAGAGAGTGAGATAGATGGGCACCGCCCATAGAGACCTAGACTAGAGGTTATAACCTGAATAATGTAACTTGCTTATTTTTTCACTAAGCTTTATTTTAAAAAATAGTTTTAGATATAAAAAAAAAGTCTAAGAGATGCAAAGAGTACAGAAGTGTTGCTATATAAAAGTGAGCATATAAACATACCAATAACCATTTGTATCTATATTAGCTAAACCTGAGTTCATCTTGATGTCTCCAACTCTAATCCATTACCCTATGGATCATTCTAGCCTCCCCTCCTTGCTTATCAGTAAACTTCCACTCCAACAGTGAGAAACCTGGCTCTCTCCATCCATCACCCAATTACTTAATTGTTTAATTCCAGAATGCATGTATGCTGGTATAAGGATGGTTAGCCTGGACCCCTACAACTTTATCAACCAGAGTGTAGTGCTTAGGTACAGTTCCTTCAGGTTTTAGTGTTATAGACTCCAATCCTTTTGAAAGTTGCTTTGCTCAGTACTTTTTCATTCCATCCCTTTCAATGAGGTTGTTTTATACATTTGAAATATAGTTGGATTACTTTGTCATATTCTGTGTTTCATCCTTGGATTCCCCAACCTCCAAGAATATTTTGAAATTTACAAATATTATGTTTCATTCTTTGTGCTACAGCTTAAAATAATTTTTGTTGTTGTTATGTGCCATTGAGTGAGACCTGACTCATAGCGACCTCTCCTTGGCTTTCCAAGGTGGTATCACTACGGAAGTAGATTGTCCAAACTTCCTTCCTAGGAATGGCTGGTGTGTTTGAACTGCCAGCCTTCTGGTTAGCAGTCAAGTACTTTAGGCACTATGCTACCAGAGCTTCTAAAATAATTTTTAATTAAAGTACATCCCATCTTATATAAAGAGAAAAAGAGAACCAATGCAAAAAAAGATAAAGAGAACCATACATAAACAGAACTGATCTTAAGTGGACAGTGTGGTGACATTTTATGCACACATTACACACAGACCTTTGTAGCCACCACCCAGATCTAGATGTAGAACATTCCCAGCACCCAATAAAGCTTCCTTGTTCCTGTTCCCAATCAGTACTTCAGGCTCTTTCAGAAATAACTACTACTCTCATTTCTATCATCATATTTAGTTTTGTATTTTCTGGAACTCCGTATAGATGGAATCATAGTATGTACCTCTTTTTGTGTGATATATTTTCTTTCATTACATTTGTGTCATTCATTTTTTATTACTGTATAAAATTTCACTTATATGAATGACTCAGTTTATTTATATATTACCTTGGAGATGAACATTTGAGTGTTTAAGTTTTTGGCTATTATGAATAAAGATATTATGAACATTCTTGTGCATATATATTCAAATATCTTGATTTAAATTATGAAATGACTGGGTTATACCTTAGGTATATGTTTAACATTAGTAGGCACTGTCTTCCAAAAGGCTTGAACAAATTGCATTCTCATAAGCAATGCATGAAGGAGCCATGGGGTGCGATGGTCAAGTACTCGGCTGCTAACTGAAAAGTTGGTGGTTCAAAACCACCCAGAAACTTTGAGGGAGAAAGACCTGGCAACCTGCTTCCATAAAGTTTACAGCCAAGAAAACCTAAGGGGAAGTTCCATTCTGTCACATTCCATCAAGAGTTGGAATCAATTTGATGACATACGACAACAACAGAACAGGCAATGCTTGAGAGTTTCAGACATTCTGCATCATTGACATACTTGATATTGTTAGTCTTTTGAATTTTAGTCCTTCTGAAGGATGTTTAAAGGTATTTCATTGTGGCTTTAATTTGCATTTTTGATGAATAATGATGTTAAGATATTTTTCATGTGCTTATTGAAAATTTGACTATTCTCTTTTTTGATGGGTGTGTTAAGTTTTTTGACCTCTGAAAATTGGGCTGTCTGGCTTTTGTTTCTTGATTTGTAGTAGTTTCATCCATTGACTTGCCTTTTTCTTTTCTTATAGGTCTGTTTTGATCAATAAACCTCTTAATTTTAGTGAATTTTATTTATCATCTTTTCTCTTATAATGTGTTCTGTTTAATAAATCATCTTTGCCTACTCAAAGGACATGAGATACTCTTCTATGTTATTCTCTAGAAGCTTGATTGTTTTACTTGAATATTTAATATTCAATATTTAATATTGAATACTTAAATCTATATTCATTATAAATTAATTTTTATATATGGTGGAAGGGAGGAGTAAACATTTATTTTGCCATATAGAAATTGCTTCTGCATAGACTTATAAAGACCATTCTTTCTTTACTGAATAGCAAGAGTGCCTTTGTTATAAATCAGAATAATGTACATGTGTGGGTCTGTTTCTGGATTCTAATTTGTTCCATTGATCTATTTATCTATCATTGCACGATTATTACATTGTCTTAATTACTCCAGTTCTACAGTAATCTTAAGGTACTCTGGTGGCACTGTGGTTAAAGCATTCTACTGCTAACCAAAAGGTCAGTGGTTCAAACCTACCAGCCACTTCACAGAAGAAAGTTGAAGAAGTCTGCTTTCATAAAGATTTAGAGCCTTGAAAACCCTGTGGGGAAGTTTTGTCCTATCCTAGAGAGTCACTTTGAGTCAGAATCAACTTGATGGCAGTGGGTTTGATTTTGTTTGTTTGTTTATAATAAATCTTGAAATTTGGTAGGGTAAGTCCTTCAACATTGCCCCATCTTCAATACTGTCTTTGCTCTTCAAGATTCTTTACATTTACAAAGAAGGTGAAGAGAAAGGTAATGTAAGGGGGGAAAAAAGATTATTTTCATTTACATACAAATTTTGGAATCAGTTTTTAATTTCTGTAAAACAACTTCTGGCATTTTGGTTGGTAATGCATTAAATCTGTTCATCAAATTTGGGATAACTGGCACCTTAAAGTTAAATCTTCCTATCTACAAGCATGACTTATTTCTCCATTTCCTTTAACTTCTTGTAGTAATGATTTGAATTTTCAATGTAGAGATCATATACATTTCCTTTTATATTCATGAGCTCAACCCCATGGCATCTCAGATGACTGTGTTCAGGAAAGATAACCATTTCCTTCACTAATGGGGCATGAGATGAGGGGTAAAAGGCATATATAAGAAAATATATAGAAATCCAATTGATTTTTTTATATTGACCTTGTATTTGGTGACCTTACTAAAATCATGTATTCACTGTAATATTTTATTTATAAAGTTTTTTGGATTTTATACATACAAAAAGAAAACAAACTCACTGCCAGCTAGTCGATTCTGATTCCTAGCAACCTCCTTTGGGTTTCCAAGGCAGTAAATCTTTAGAGAAGTAGATTGCCCCAGTCTTCCTCTTGTGCAGTGGCTGGTAGGTTTGAACACCAACCTTCTGGTTAGCAGTCAAATGCCATAGGCAGTACACAAATTTTTTTCCCAAGTTTAAAACTTTCAGTTTGTGTTCTTAACTTATTGTACTGTCAAGGATGTCCAGTGTAATGTCAACAAACAGGGTGAGTGGACATCTCGTCTTACTTCCAAATTTAGGGAAACTGTGTTAAATATTTAATAACAATTATAATCTTAGCTTTATATTTTATGGAGCTACCCTTTATCAGGTTATAGAAGATCCCTTTTATTCCTCGTTTCCTGAGAAATTTTATCATGAATAGTTGTTGACTCTTGTCAAAACTTTTTCTGCATATTTTGAAAGGGCTGTATGTTTTTCTCCTTCATCCTGCTCATGTTGTGAATTATAATGGTTGTTTTGAATGTTAAAATAACCTTACATTCCTGGGGTAGACTACACTTGGCTGTGGATTTTTAACCTTTTTATGTATTTTTTGATTGAATTTGTTTAGAATTTTTGCACCTAAGTTTTTTAAAGCAATTGACCTTCAGAGGTTTCAAGGCCATCTCTTTAACTTCCCATGCCAGGCAGCCTCAAAATCTGGCAAATGTCCCGAGGGGTAAAACCTCTATTATTTGTGTCAGGTTCCCTCCTTCTAGTGTTGGGATTTGTCTCCTAATCAGCCTGACACTGCTGGGTACTTTACTCTGTTTTTCCGTATTAGGCCTCCAGCCTCCTGAACTGCCCCAGAACATTATAAAAATTCTATGGAGAACACTGGCCTTATATTTGGGATTCTACTAGTTTCCACTTGGAAGGAAGATGGGGCAATCTACATCCATAGTGATACTGCCTCGGAAACCCAAGGAGGAGTTGCTATGAGTCGGGGCCAACTTGATAGCACATAACAACAACAACAACACTAGTTTCCAATCTATCATTCCAGTCCCACATGACCTCTAAAAATTTTTCTGGTTTATCTTTATTCCCAGGTGAATCCCTTTACTTGAAAAAAGCTATATCCTTTCCCCTACTTAGAATTGACCAATGACCCCAGGGAAGAAAATGGTCTGTAGTTGTTCACTCAGTTTGGAAAGATTTGTTGGACTTTTCAGTAATCGAATCTTCATTTCTTCCAAATCTTTCCAAGCTTCAGTGTATTTGCAATTATCTATTTTTATTTATCTGTTTTTGCAGTGGGAGAGGTGGCCTATTGTAATTTATTAAATTTGCAAGCACATGTCATCACTTCATTTTACTTTACCTCTTCAGATCCTGTTTTTCTCCTTCAGAATAAAATGTAAAACATTGTTCTTTATAAGCTTTAAGGCCTCCAGGATTTTCACTGTGGCTTTTTTTTTTTTTTAAATATATATACTATTTCCCTGTAACATAACGATATTTAATAAATGTATTAAATATGATGAGGATAAGCAAAGCTGGACAATGAATAAGGAAGACAGAAAAAGGGTGGATGCCTTTGAATTGCTCTGTTGGCAATTCAACAGAATGCTGAAAATACTGTGACCTGCCAGTAGAACAAACAAATCTATCTTGGAAGAAGTGCAGTTGGAATGCTCCTTTGAAATGAGAATGTCTAGACTTTGTCTTACCTACTTTGGTCATGTTGTCAGAAGGGACCAGTACCTAGAAAAGGATATCATGCTTGGTAAAGTGGTGGTTGTTGTTGTTGTTATGTGCCGTCAAATTGGTTCCGACTCATAGAGACCCCTCCTTGGATTTCCAAGGCAGTATCACTACAGAAGTAGATTGCCCAACCTTCCTTCCGAGGAGTGGCTGGTGGGTTTGAACCGTCAGCCTTCTGGTTAGCAGTCAAGTGCCTTAGACACTACGCTACCAGAGCTCCTCCTTGGTAAAGTGGAGGGTCAGTGAAAAAAGAGAAGACCCTCAGTGAGACAGATTGACACAGTGGCTACAATGATGGGCTCAAGAATGTCAGGGATTGTGAGGATGGCACAGACCATTTCATTCTGTTGCCATTATGAGTAGGAGTCGACTCACCAGCACCTAGATCAACAACCTACCTGAACTTTAACATGAATAACTATAGAATATATATAAAAAATGTAACTTATAACTACCTAAGTAAATATCCTTGTTTTGAGAAGAAAAATAAGTGAATAACTTTATTTCCCTTCATCAGATACCAAATGATCTTCTCACTTGATCAACCAACATTATGATTGTCACAATCAGATTTATATTAGTAGTATATTACTTTAGACATCAAATATAATATAAATAGAAAATACATTAACAAGAAACAGAATCAGGAATACAAGTTCCTATTTTTTCCTATTCTTTTTTGTCTATAGCCATTCCTGAGTCCAAGAAACCATGAAGCTCACAGTTCAGCATGTCAGTTTTCAGCACCGACTGATGTAACTGATGACACTGGCATCCATTTAACAGGTGTCTGTACCAACTCTGGGACCCATGAACACTCAGGATTTCTAAATAGAGAAGTCCAACACTGCCAGGTAATGTTTGGTGCAACACAGTTTCTCTGGATTATGGTACAATCCACATGAAAATGTTCTTGATTCAATATGTTGTTTGAAAATTAATGAATTAATTCTTATCATTTTTCTGAGAATGTGCAGTATCCTTTGAATGTGGCAAATCACTGAGGGGAAATGTAAGAGAGGTAGGAGGTTTATGAGACTCTACATTTAAGAAGTAATGATCTTGATGAAGAGACAAAAATACATACATTTTCCAAAATAGATGTGAGAATCAAAGAAAACAAAGCAACATCCTCAGAAGGAAGGTTGGGCAATCTACTTCCTGAGTGATACTGCCTCAGAAACCCAAGGAGGGTCCGCTATGAGTCAGATCCAACTTGACAGCAGTGTTTGGTTGGTTTGGTTTGGGAAGGATAAGAAAGTTCCAATACAAATACATTGGAAATAAATGACATAGTTTGTAAATCAAGCTTTGGTGGAAGATAAAGTCATGTGTTAATGTCCTACAGAGTAGGACCTTACTCTGTGGGTTGTCACCTCACTCTCCTTTCCTTCCAGCCTCTGAACCTACCTGGGATACTTCCTTGAGCTTCTCTTGGCTCTGATCTTTTGTGTTTTCAACCTTTACTTAGAAAGCACTTTGAACCCTTGGTTTGGGGCCCAGAAGCAATTTCTTATATTCCCTACCCTATTTCTCGTTAATGTATTTTCTTCACCTTAATGTCTGTCCATAAGGTCTATTCTGTCTTCGGGCTAGAGTTAGGGCTAGGGTTAGTGTTGGGGGGAAACTTGCTAATGGTGCTTGGTCCTTTGGTTGGGTGCTTCTGGTTCTGAGATACACCCCTCCTCTGATAAATGCTGCTATGGAGAATCAGTTTGGACAAGCTGACTTCACTCTTTGGCAAGATAAGAGAAGATAATAAACTCTTTATATCAAGAGGCATTGCAGAACAATGAGTCATTTTGATAGATTGAAATTACTCAGAGAAATGTAGTATATTAAAATGAAAAGTATTGTATTAAAACTGAAAATAAAGACCCAATTTTTCTCCACTTGAAAGTGGTTGAATAATTGAAACCAGTTCAAACCAACTTTATTATATTCAGACATACATACAAAAATGTAAAATGTCTGAGAAGGAAGGAAAGGAAGACAATGAGGGAAAGAGTGGAATCTTGGGTGAAAGGCTGATGGCAAAAATACTCTGAGGCTGGGTATTTGGTGTACAGGATCTCAGAACAAATTATTCCCATGTCAATAGGGATGTCCAAGGACCAATTTTTCCTAAATGAAAACTAAGTTTGGGACTGATATTTATTATTCAGGGAGTCCCTAGGTGGCACAAATCATTAAGCACTTAACTACCAAATAAAAGGTTGGTGGTTCAAACCCACCCAGAAGCACCCAGGAGGAAAATCTGGTGATGTGTTTCTGAAGATCACAGTCTTGCAAACCCTGTGGAACAGTTCTACTCTGCACACAAGGATCTCCAGGAGTTGGACTCAACAACAGCAACTGTTAGTTTTTTATTTTTAATTACTCAAGGCCTGTTAAGATACTTTTAATACATTCTTTTATTGCAGTTGTTGTTGTTGTTATGTGCTGTTGAGTCAGACCCGACTCATAGTGAACTCTCCTTGGGTTTCCGAGACAGTATCACTATGGAAGTAGATTGCCCCATCTTCCTTCTGAGGAGTGGCTGGTGGGTTTTAACCACTTGCCTTCTGGTTAGCAGTCAAGTGCCTTAGGCACTATGCTACCAGAGCTCACATTGCAGTAAGCTGTACATTTTATATATATACATATATATATAATTATCAACAGCATTATTTTTTTTCTTGAAAAAGTTGGTTTTACTGTTAGTAAATTTATTAATTTATTTTCCAGGTGACAAAAAATTTCATTGGTGATTGGGCTCCATGGAAAGTCTTCCTGGCTTGTCTTTTAGCTTGTGTGATAACAACAGCAGTTGGAGTACTCATAGTGTGTCTTGTATATAATGGGAAAAACACGAATCCCTCCATTGTCATCCAGCTTCCTGGAAGCTATGGGACAACCTCATCTACTGGTGGAACAACTATGTCTACTGCTTCTGAATCTACCATAACATCCACTTCAAATGAGCCTGCTACAACAACTACACTGAATACATCAAATGGACCTACCAGCACAACCACAACAAGTACTACTGAACTTACAACCACAACAGCCAGCACTACTGCAACTGAAACTACAACCACAGTAACACCCACCACTGCTGCTACTGGAACTACAAGCACAGAAGCCACCAGTACTGTAACAGAAGTGACAACAGCAGCACCCACCACTGCAGCTACTGAAACAACAGCCACAACACTCACCACTACTGATTCTGAAACTACAACCACAACAGACACCACTACTGCAACTGAAACTACATCAGCACCTACCACTACTGCAACTGAAATGACCACCACAGAGGTCACCACTACTGCAACTGAAACTACAACCACAGCAGCCACCACTACTACTGAAACTACAACCACAGCAGCACCCAACACTACAGCTACTGAAACTACAACCACAGCAGCACCTACCACTACTGCAACTGAAACTACAACCACAGCAGC